TTGTGACGAGTTCCTAATCGGCGCCGTTTTTGTGTAAGATGAAAATTTTTCCCAATTACGTTGACATTGCCAGTGAATTTCCCATGTACCAAACATTCGCGAATGTAGACCAGCATTTGTCAAATATGCGTAGAAAAACGCGAATTATCAGAAAAATGAACGATTTCGTTATAGAAGCTATATTGGCTTACATGTGCGTTAGATGCTATTTTATAGGATGATCCGAAGTGTTACTCAATCAAAATCAATGACTCATCAAATAATGGTAGATTTCCTCACCACTCACAAGATAAAATTATGCTTTGTATTAGACATGAAGGATTTACTTCGCGGAGTTAACATTCGGGAAAACGTTCGACGATTGTTTTGTAGGGAGAGGGTAGTTTGAATATTGCCGATGAGTTCAAGTTCTCAAGCAAAACGGTATTCTCAATATTTCTTCAATGAACTACTTTACAATGTTTTCAAGATGTTATTAGTATTAAAAATCTGTGGTAATTTGGTCCACCCTGCAGGACTGACTTCCTGACCTGTTTTTTCGGATTCGGTTGAGCGTCTTTGATACGCTAGTTACCTTTCTTTCCGTTGTGAAGATTAAGAATTAAGGAGTGAGTTTGAATTGATGGCATTTTGCATTCGATCAATTACAGTAATCATTTTCGGGTCTGAAGTTTCAAGGCTGCAGCATGTGTTGTCAAATTCTTCGGGACGCGGATGTTGAATTCTTATTATTTTTTATTTCCATTTTGGTTCAGTTTTACAAGGCCTGGCCTGGTGTGTGATACAATAGGGTCTGAAGTTTCAAGGCTGCAGCATGTGTTGTCAAATTCTTCGGGACGCGGATGTTGAATTCTTATTATTTTTTATTTCCATTTTGGTTCAGTTTTACAAGGCCTGGCCTGGTGTGTGATACAATCTGAAGGATTCGTCCCGCCCCTTGAAATTGATAGGCATCGTCAGTCTAACGACCCTTTTTCTAGCCTCGATGACTAGTTCTTTCTGTCGATTGCTTTTCGTCGTCTCGACGGAATCCGGCTTTTGATTTTCTCTGTCGACCTTCGCAGTATTTTCGTTTCGTCAGGATCGTGGATTCATGCCGATGTCTCGAGCGGCATTTACGGCTTATCCAAAATTACACAAGAAGCTGGATGTAAATGTGATGGTTTCCTTGCTTGTGAATTTTTTTTTTCCAGAGGAATTTTTGTGTCTCTGCATTTGTATCTGTGAGTACGAACGTGAGTATGTCACTCCTGGGAAGGGTTCTGCGGAGTGGTCCACGTTCGCACTCTTGGTTTGGTACCTCCTAGCTATTAACAGCACGTTAAAGTTGGTAGAACTGACTGCGCGTAGAGTCACAAGGCCTAAAGTTACAAGTTTTACTTGGTCAAGAACCACTCAAAGCTTCTAAAAAACAGAGTTTTTTCTCAGTAAAATCTCGTTACAAGTTACCAAAAATACCATGAAAAAATTTTCAAGGTTACAGCAAAATTTTCAATATTGTGCAACAAACTTTCTCTCAATTCTCGACAGAAAGCCTAAAGATTACATGTCAAAACAATCGTTAGAAGTCTTATTACTCAACTTACTGAATCCAGTGTAGCAAACATTTTTTGAGGAATGTTTAATAGATTCTCCTGGTAAAAAATTTCCTATAAGATCGGCACATTTTGAAATTTCTGACCCTGAACGTGACTGACCGGTTCAACACCATTACAGTGTCATAGAATGAAGAGATTTTCACATCATCCTCCTAGAATGTAGAGATTAGTCCAACTATGCATGATTGAAGCTGAAAACAAATTCAGAAGATCACTCAGTTTTCCGTAGAAAAAAATCTGAAAATGCCAGAAAAACGAGATTTAATTAGTTATAGGCAGGTCTGATGTGACATTTTTTCTGGTCATTAATTTTGAAAATCTTGTTACGGTATGACAAATGATTCAGTATGAAAAACTTTTTTTGAAGTGAAGTCCCCAAAAGTTTGTTTCGACGAGATTTCAGTGTACTGTATTTGATGAGTTAATTTTATGCTCCAGGAGACTCCCTCATCTTTGGGGAGTCAAGAAATGTAATAAAATAATATTTTTTATTTAAAAGTGAAATTTAATTCTTAATTTGATTTGAAATACTTCGATAATTTTTAATAAATAACCCCTCTCATTTCTTGATAAAAATTTATAATTCGATAATGTTAAATAAATAAACCCATTTTATTTATGTAAGGTAAAAAATCGAGAAGATTGTATACCTGCTTCACGACAGAATTCCGGTTATGTGGTCTTCGATCCATCGTTCCCATATTTTGTTGTATTCAGACAAAATAAAGCCTTTCAATTATAGTATACAGTATTCGCATCCTTTATATTTTATTTGTTGACCAATGGCACCCTGTTGTCTGTAGTCGATCGTCAGAATTTTAATGTGTAATTATCGGGTTTCCCCAAAAAAACACAAGTAACTTTCAAAAGTTCGCATTTTTCTATTGCAGGAACGCCCAAATGATTGCATTAGTGACTTGGAATTTTTGTTGATTAAAAGCCCCTTTATTCAAAACAAATTCAAGAATGGTTAATTGAGCGTGCAGTAAGTCTTAAGGTTCCGATCTGTGTTCAACGAATATTTTCGAAGTTGTCCTTCATATTAAAACCTGAAAGGGACAGAGTTGATTGAAGAGATTGTTTTTCTCTCTTGCAAGGTTACTTGAAGGGCAGCAAGGAACGCATCGAGTTGGAGGCTGCCCTAAACAAGTATGCAAATCAGGTCGAAGAAATACCCATCGTTATCGGTGGCGAGAGACTCAAGAGCCCAGAGGAGCTCAGCGTCACCTGTCCCCACGATCACGGGAAGAAGCTGGCCAAGTTTTATCGAGCCTCGTCTGCAATGATTCAAAAAGCAATTGATGTTTCGATGAAAGCCCGAGTTGGTTGGGAAGCCACCCCGTTGAAGGACCGGATTGACGTTTTTCTCAAGCTCGCCGACCTGTGTGCCAATAAGTATCGACAGGACTTGAATGCCACGACGATGCTCGGTCAAGCCAAGACGATTGTACAGGCTGAAATAGATGCCGCTGCGGAACTCGTGGATTTCTATCGCTTCAACTCGTTCTTTGCCAAAGAGTTGACCAAGTATCAGCCCATTAGCCCAAATCCCTCTGAGACGAGGAATACGATGCGATATCGTGGATTGGAAGGTTTCATTGCTGGCATTTCGCCATTTAATTTCACCGCCATCGGAGGGAATCTTGGGGCGTCTCCAGCAATAATGGTAAATTTGCAGATGATGTCCGCTAATTCTGCCCTCTTTTATTCCGTTATGCAGCGGTGCATCGGTTAATGACCTTGTTGAAGCTGCAGTATTGTATTTGGAAAGTCCGTTATCCGTCAAGTCGATTAACTCAATAATGTGAAGCTACATAGAATTGCTAATTGGTTTCGGACCCTGTCCGAAAAAAAAAAAAAACCTCAAGCGTGAAACGATAACAAATTGCTAATGCTGATCATATTTTTTTTAATTTCCTCCGTGAATTTTTATAGAAAACGATTAATGAACGGATTTCAAGTTCGACGTGTTGAAAACGAGAAAGACGAGCAGAAACGAGGAAACAAATGCGTAACGCAACTAAGAGGTTCAGTAGCTCATTCCCTATTTAAAAAATGATTTCTGCAGCCACATTTTCCGCAGGAACTTGAAATGCTTCAGAGGACAATCATTTTATTCTATTTTCTAGATTAAGAACTGCTGAAAACAGAGGAAAAGACGCGTTCTCTATGTTTGAGAAATCTCAAATGGTTTGGCAATGCCCCTGCATTCACTGGATGAACCCGGAAATAATTTGATGAACGATTGAGAAAATTTCACGTATGCAAAGTAAATTTCGAGCAGGTGTATATTGACAATCCCTTGTGTAATGTATATTTTTTAGAATTTTGAGGATTTTATCTTTTATTATACCCATAATCTCGTGTCGGAGCAAGTATGAAGACTTGAAAATGCTGATGGACTCTGGAAGCTCTTGTTGAAAATTCGAAAAAATAATGACGTCATTTCTCTGATGTTTCTCGCGTTTTATCCAGCTAGTCTTGATCAAGTATCACTTGATGTTCTTGCCGCATTTCAAAGGAACCCCTGATAGAATCATGGGCGCTGATTGATAACATGAGATCATCTTCACTTGACAGGGAAATGTGATCTTATGGAAGCCATCTGAGACAGCGCTGTTGTCCAACTGGGTAATTTTCAAGATACTGGAGGAAGCTGGTCTGCCGCCGGGTGTGGTGAACTTCGTACCCTGCGACGGCCCGGTTTTCGGGAAAACAGTGACAACCTCCCCTCACCTTGCCGCCGTCAACTTTACCGGATCTGTCGCGTAAGTAAGCGGTTGTGTTCGTTAGTTACCGTATATAGAATGACCCATGCGCTACTTGACTCATTATCTTTGTATCTCAGAACATTGAGAAATGTGTCAAAGGAAGGGGCGAAGGGAAATACTGTAAGGGGGAGAAATCGTCATTATCCCGACAAGTGGTTGGCGCCTAGCTAAAGACAGGGAACACTTACATTTTTTACTTTTTATTTCTACGGCTGATCCTAGTTCAAAATACTGCAATTCATTTACTCAAGATCTAAAAGTGATTGATTTCTGACTGCGACCGATTTCTGTTTCGGAAAACGGATTCCGATGCGGGTGCTGAACTGTAGCGAAATTAACCATCCATGAACAGATTGAAATTGCTCTGGATAATGCGGCGGCCAGCCTCATTTTTCAAGGGGATGAAAGCTTTTATGGTCTTTTTTATTGAGCACCTTTTATTTTTTTTAGCGATTCCGTGATTCCTTCAAGATTTGATAAGATAAATATTCATGGGGAAAAATGTTTTAGGATTAGACATTCCAAATACAGTGCCCTACATTTACGATAGTTGATTGATGTAATTTTTGAATTGTGGACTTAAAAAGGATTGTCCCATCCGGTCGCGACCTTGGTTATTTCTTGAATAAGTATGGCTGTTGGAAAATATTATTGTATAGCCAATGATGTAGGTTGTAGGGTTTTTCGGATTTGTGAAACAATTTTAGGATTTACCAAAGTATAATTTTCCAGGTAGGACCAGAGTTCTGGGACCCATGTCACAGGGTGATGAAAATCTGTCAGGGCAGCTGAAAATTTGAATGTCTTTGTTTTTGTAACCATTATGTAAAATGGAGCGAAAGAAGATAATGGTTAGAGCAAACAACAAAAATTAAATTTTTTAGCTGGCTTGAACATTTTTTTTTTGCATCTTGTGACATACTCTGCCCATAATCGAAAAGTGTTCACGCATCATTGATTTTTTCAATCCTAAAAAATTCCTGAACTTTAAAACTTCATGGCTGTGATTATATCATTCATCCTTTTTTTTTCTTCTTCAGGACGTGGAAGTGGTTGTCGCGAGCAGTTGGCGAGAACCTGGACAAATACACGAACTACCCACGCTTGATCGGCGAGTGTGGTGGCAAAAACTACCATTTGATTCACCCGTCGGCTGACTTGAATTCCGTCGCGCCGTCCACGTTGCGATCTGCGTTTGAATATGGTGGTCAGAAATGTTCAGCTTGTTCAAGAATCTACGTTCCGCAGTCGGTTTGGCCAACATTGAAGGACAAACTGCTTGCGCTTCACAAAGAAATTGTGATTGGAGACCCAACGGACCCGAAAACGTTCTTCTCTGCTGTTATTGACAGGGCATCTTTCAATAGAATCAAGAAGTACATCGATTATGCGAAATCAAAGCACGAAATCATTGCTGGAGGAAAATATGATGACAGGTAACGAAATGCCGTCAACGGTTATGATACTTTTTGTCACCTAATTTTAAGGCGGAGAAAAATGTTTTTACTATGCTTACTTTCAAAATTATTCTACACTAAAATCTTGTTTCAGCATACCATTGCAACACATTTTTCAGTGTATTTAACTAGTGTATTAGTCCCAGAAAAAACCCACTAATTGCATGTTGAAACATTTTTGTTTTATCAAAATTTTTTGAAAAATGTAAATATATTTTCTGGGTAGAAATTTCCTGACTGAAGCAGGCACAGTTTCAAATTTCGGATCCCAAATGTGACTGACTGGTTCTTGGAGCATGGATGGAAGCTGTATTTAATGACAAACATGCTTCCAAAGGTTTGCACACATCATCCTCCCAGAATGAAGAGATTGGTGGAACTGATGGAATGCATATTTGAAGCTTTTTGTTTCAGAATTTCAAACAAAAATCTGAGAATGCCAGGAAAGCAAAATCTATGTGATTACGGACAGGTCTGATGTCAAACATTTCTCCAGTCATTAATTTTGTAAATCTTGTTCAACAAACTATTCAGTAGAAAGGAACTGTTTCTGACGTTGCAGGTTTGTTATAATTAGATTTCACTGTATGCTCTTATTTTTGAGGAGTGGCAAAAATCAAGGTGCCTGTTGGACTTTATCTTTTGTCTTACTGTATTTGATTGAAATGGCTCAATTCTGAAAACGTGTAATACCAAGAATTGTTTGCATTACAGCAAGGGCTATTTCATTGAGCCTACAATTGTGGTTGTGAATGATCCAAATGACAAGCTGATGAATGAGGAGATCTTTGGACCCGTTTTGTCGGTGTACCCATTCCCAGATAAGATGGTGGACAAGGACATTTTTGAAATTGTGAACAAAGTACCATTTGGCCTGACTGGAGCAATCTTTTCTCAGGATACGTGAGTGTTTCTATGCAATTCACCATCGCAATCCATCTTAATTTGTTGTTCTTGTTAATGTGTTGCAGCAAGTATTTGCAGAAAGCTCTGCAAGAACTGAAGATGTCAGCAGGAAACTTCTACATTAATGACAAGTCAACAGGATCAGTTGTTGGACAGCAACCATTTGGGGGTTCAAGAATTTCAGGTGAGATTCTTTTTGTAAACCATGCTTTCAAGTTCAAATGCCCCAGATTTTCTGTTAACCAATATTTATGTAGGAGGATTTCATAAATAATTTTTTTTTAATCTGGGGCATTTGAAGTGTTGAGTAATACAGTAGTATGAATATGGTGCGTCTTGCGAATATATATTACTGTACTCTATTGTGTTCAAGAAGATTAAGAGAACTGTGTTTAGGCATTTAGAGCAGTGTTCCCCAACCTGTGGTCTGCAGAAGTTTTTTGCTGGTCCACAGGAAATTTCTCCAGGCTATTGCATTTTTCATAAGTAGCTATGAAGGGCATTAGAGCTAGTATGTTCATCTTAAATTTTGGCAAGACAATGGCAGTTGAAATTATCTCATTATAAATATATCTTGGCTTTTCTCCTATAATACTTCAGACAACTTTTCACCTGATCTAACTAATAAATTATTTCAATGTTTGAGTTTGAAAAACCTTTCTTCAAGCCCATCTTTCCATTTTTTCAAGACATAGCTGCTTCAATGGTACTTGACTTAAGTTTTGCAAAAAAGCAGAAGCTTTTCAAGTACAAGCTGTCTTTCAAGCAAAACTTTTTTGAGCCTGCAAAAATTGTATGAAATTTTGCTTGTATGTGGGACCAAAAAGGTTGGGGAACATTGATTTAGAGTGATTATAATTATTAAGCAGAAAGAATTTTGTGATATTTGTCATTCAAATATTTCTTAGCGTGGCAAACATACATTTTTATGTAGAAACCTTTTCGTGAAGCAAGTACATTTCTATTACAGTTATTCCACTTCTTAAATGTAAGTATATTACTGTAAAACGCCAATCCAGAGAAACTTAGAATTTCATTATTGAATTAAGGTTACTGTATTTAAAAATACTTTTAGCATTTTGATTAAAACCAATTGTTTGATGGGCCAACAAGTTTTTGCTTCAGTGCTGAAGCGCATTCACACCCAATTAATTGTCTTCTTTTCTGTCAGGAACGAACGACAAAGCTGGCGGACCGCATTACATGCTGAAATGGGCCAGTCCTCAAGCAATAAAGGAGACGTTTGTGCCATTACCTGATTTGCATTATCCATATATGAAGGAATGAAATTGTGAGAAAGAAGACAAGCGCTCACAAAGTAAGTTTCGTATGTGCCAACTGTGAGCTGGTTGCGCGGAATCCCGCAGAGTCCTGTGAAACTCACCTTCAGCTGGATCTGGAACAAGCAGAAATGACAGTTCAACACGTGGTTGGGTTTCAAGAGCTTTCTTGAGTGTTGTTCCGTGAACGTTGTGCGATATGCTACTGTAATACATTTCATTTACTGTACTCAAGTTTCAAGGTCCGAGTAGAAATCATTTAACAGTTCAACACGTGGTTGGGTTTCAAGAGCTTTCTTGAGTGTTGTTCCGTGAACGTTGTGCGATATGCTACTGTAATACATTTCATTTACTGTACTCAAGTTTCAAGGTCCGAGTAGAAATCATTTATTGAACAGCATTAATTATTTTCTCTGCATATCCTCTAAAAACTGTGGCGAAAATAGTTAGTGCACTAGAACTAAACTTGAATAAATCAGATTAGATAGAAATACGACGTTTCGGAAAACATTGAACACTTATTTACCGTATCCCAATCGTTTTTCACGATTTCAACCTGCGATCCAATAAGTAGTAAGATTGGTAGCTCAAATCTTTTTTCGTGGACCCTCAATATGGAGTTCGACTCACAAGCGGCTCCACTGTATAAAAATATGAAACATATTTTTCTTAAATCCAATGCAATAACATGAAAAAATTCTCACCGAAATCTAAGTATCCCGGCAAGGAATGAATGAATCAATGTTTCAAGACGCCACTATCCTCGTCGATCGAAAAAATCGGAACAATCGCAGGCTCATACACTTCACCCAGGAAACAATTTCAGTCACGTCAACGGTCCCACTGTCTGGCTCCAACATAATCATTTTTCTTGGCTCTCCATGAATAAGCTGCAACGTGTAAAAATCATTTACAGTCTTTCGGGAGTGCAGGTCATTCAACCTCCACCCCATTTCAGACGCATAAAACACGCTTTCCCGATGCCGAATTCCACGCTTTAGGGTAGGAAAAGAGAGTACCGGGTATTGGACCTTTGCGGTTTTAGGGTTTTTCAAAAGCTGTCGTGGGACAGCTCAAATTACGAGCTTTTGATGAAGAAAAGCTCCTAATTGTTCATCAAAAAAATACATCATCCGAAAAATAGTATGAAGAAGTTCTCGGATTATCATCGTTCTCCAGAGGTTCATTTCAGCTTTTTGTCCATCCACAGAATTAAAAATTAGATGTAAGAAAATTTAAAAACATAACCGGAGCTGAAATTTGCTCTGGAAAACTAATTCGATTTTTCGAAATTCACACTTCATTGGCATCGGCCATATATTTTAATGTGGTACTATACTAACTATTATATGCTTCTTCATATGCTACTAAAATTAAAACGCACACTCCACTGAAGTGAAAGAAACCAATCTTGGATTCAGGTGTATGCATCTTCGGTTGATTATATACGACCCTGATTCGGCTTCCTCCAATATTAATTTTTCAAAACTCAAAAAGGAACTTATCGAATTATTTTCTGAAACTTGCGAGAAACTCATTCAGAAATTGGATGATTAGCTCAAAAAAAAATGCGGATGCATTCACGGCGCTGTATTGATTGTCCTGAAAACTATACAACAATTTATGAAAACTTAGTTGAACAAAACTATAACTGGGAGCACTATTAAAAATTTTTCTGTACAGTTTGAAGCATGGTACATTCATCAATACACTTCTTTTAAATGGTTTTCATGAATGTACAGTATTCTCAATTGTGCTATGTGTCGTTCCCCCGTTTTCCGAGTGTCATTGCTGCCATTTAACCTTGATTTAACATTCATTCTTGGTATGAGTACAGCAATGTGTTTCAGAATTTATTAAATTTCCAAAGGAAAAATTATAGCCAGTTTACATACAGTGAGACCCCCACATGCGGACGATTCGACTTAGGGACACTTTATTTACAATTAAAAAAGACCGCTGGACGCCTGTAGTTTTAAAAGTTTTTTAGCTTAAAAAGTTCGGTTTAATGATCCTTGTCTATAAGTCTTGGTATTCTACCACTCTAGGTACACTGTTTTTAACAAAATTTTAAGACAGTAGTAATTCTCCTCCATTTAGCTAACTTTAAAAATTATCTCAAGCATAGAGATTCTCAAAAAAGAAGGGATTTCCTTCTCTTTTTGTCCAATTTCATTTTTACAGGAAATGCTAACATCTCAATGTTCGATAGTGTACAGAGGTACAGCATTTTTACTTAGACATTCTTTCCTGTATGTTCCTAAGAAACTGTTGAAAAAACATTATTCTCAAATTTTTCCTTGACAAAAAGCTAAGTTTTATAAGTTAATTTCAAGAAGGCTAGATAAAAAAGTGGAAAATTTCCTCTAAGACAAAAACATCTGGAATAATCAGGAATGTGCCAACTGTGGAACTCAAAAAAGAAATCAAAAAGATGCCACAGCTGGAGAAGAAAGGAAGAGAAGAGGACATTTGCTGAATTGATGGATCTTAATGTTCAGCAGTAGTACAGAAATTGTACATTTTGTGAATGTTTCATGTCCCCAATGCTCCAAATTTTATACATGAGTTGAAAGACACTGATTTAATAATTTTTTCATTGGTAGAATTTTGTTCCTCAATTTTAAAAATGAATTTTGATCAATATTTCTTTCCAGAAAACACCAATTAAAAATTATATAATACAAGTCTATGGGAAAACATGACTCGACTTAGGGACACTCTTGACACACCAATTACGTCCGCATCTCGGGGTCTTACTGTACTTTTACAATGCTTATGAAGTAAGGGACTTGTGGGGGTCTCAAAATAATTAGCCAAAGTGAAAAGCTTTACATTACTTTAAAAATGGACTTCATACACCGGGGTGAATGCAGTCCATTAACCGAAGCACCAGCACTGCGTACTCAAATCATACGCTTCATAAAGCTGTTTCTTTTTTTGGCCACATTGCAGAGGTGGAGCAACATCCTTATGGGCCACAGTAGACCAGAATTTTCGAAGATCCAGATTGTCCTCTTTTAAGTGAGAAGTTCAAAATTCAATTCAGCACTAAAACTGTATCTTGAATCTCAAGCTTAGCCAAATTTTTGAAGGGTGGAGAAAGTCTGAGATAACTTTCGAAAAAACCCCTCGCATGTCTCCGATGGACATGCATTTATGAACACGAAGTCAAATATTCACCAGATGATCAATATTGCGTGACGGTATTCCTCCGTTTCTCACCACGGTTTGACTGCGCAGCTCACCGCCATTCTCCACACCAGAAAACTCGTCCTATAACGAGAAAATTTCAGTGCTATGAGGTTGGCAGTGAAGGAATGTGACAAGGGTTCGAAACAGAGAAGATTTCGAAAATCATGTCTCGATTTCAAGCGGAGATTCACGGAGCGGAACACGCCGAGAATTACCGAATTTTCTACAGTGAGTATACCCAAAAATTAACTGCTGCTCAGAGGAAAAATTCGCATTTCAAGGATACAGTAATCTCAATCGAGTCAAATCCATGCGTACAATCAAATGAATAAAAATTGGCGGTGAACGTGCTGAGCTGATTTCGAAAGAATTCCTCTCGGCAGGAATGAACTGTTGAAATATCTGCCCACCTAAAAAAATAACTCCGAAAGAAAATGTAATATTTAATGACTATACAGGCAACAACATTAAAATGTGAAGCTCGGAATGTCAGCCAGTGACACCTAGCCACTAAAAAGACAATTCCTCTGGATAGAGAAGAATTCCTCGCATGGATAATTTTCCTTCGCACAGCACCTTATTCCCGGACACTGGCGATCACTCACGTCAAAATGTTACTGTATTGAAATTACATTCAATTATATCTGAATATAGGAAACGAACAAGGAAAATACTTATCCCCATTACATGATATTCCACTGTACGCGAACAAGGACGACCGCCTTTACAACATGGTCGTCGAAATCCCGCGCTGGACATGCGCTAAAATGGAGGTTCGTACAAAAATAATTACTTGGACAACATTTACATGAGAGATTAAAAAATTAATGTCACTCAGTTGCTAGTTCCAGAAGCGGAAAAAAGTCAAAATCGCTCTGTAAAATTATGACTTAGTCTTCAGAGTTTAGATGCTGGAGCATTTGTATCCCCCATATTTAATGATTTTCTGCGTTTTTTTTTTCTTTTTTATACAGCAATAGACACATGCGGAATTTCGGGAATCTCTCGGCTTTATAGAAGCACCGCTCTTAAACATCAAAACTGTGAATAATTTATATTAGAGGACTTTAATTCTATTGTCGCAAAAATTTCAGATAGCCACCAACGAACCCCTCAACCCCATCCGACAGGATCAGAAAAACGGAAAACTCCGATTTGTGTCCAACTGCTTCCCTCACCACGGATACATGTGGAACTACGGAGCGCTTCCTCAGGTCAGCCAAAGAATAACTAATTGGATGTTCCAACATTGCGTGGACTTGGGCACTTTTTACTTGAGTTATATTCTCTCCACATGAGCTCTGCAAGTGATGTGCAATGATACAGTGTATCTCCAGTTTCACCTAATTTTGTTTAATTTTCATATAACTTTCTCACATGACTTCCTTAAATTAGGCATTAATTTGGTTAATTTAATCTAATTGACAGCCTTGATGAACATTTCTGAAATTTGGAGATTTTTCCAGTGGAGAGGTGATAAAAGCTGTCTTTTCATAAGGTAGACCAGTGCTGCCCAACTCAGACAAGGCCAAGGAACACATTAATGAATTTTTTTGTGGCCAGTAAGGGCCACATTGCAGAGGTGGAGCAACATCCTTATGGGCCACAGAAGAACAGAAATTTCGAAGATCCAAATTGTCCTCTTTTAAATGAAAAGTTCTAAATTCAATTCAGTGCTACACCTGTATCTTGAAGCTTAGCCAAATTTTTGAAGGGTGGAGCAAAATTTGCATTTTAAAATTCTTGTTACAATATAAATTTTGAATGGCGGCAGCTGTCAACATATGGTCCAACATCTGGCCTTCTTGAGCAGCACAGAAGTAGACTGCCTCAAAAACAACAAAATCAGGCGAAAAAAAAATTCGGACAGAATTTTTTGTAGAGAACCCTTTTGGACCAAAAAAAATCGTTATAAAGAGAAAATCATTACAGACAACATATTTTACTTAATATTCTACCTGTGTTAAATAAGGTTGCCCCAAAAATTTAAGCATCTCTGGGGAGAAAATGAATTACAGTCATAACTCAACCTCATTATAGGATAGCTTCCTCTAAGAGAGAAAAGGAGGAAAATTGCACAGAAATGTGTGCTTATACTTTTAGACACGTAAATAACTCATTAAGGCAATAACCTGAGTAAGATGGAGACATAACCGCTCACCAATTCTCAGCCGGAACAGATTTCTTGAAAACGAAAGTCCTTTCTCTGTACCCTCTTGGGCTTGCAATGTCTGGGCTTGTGTCCTCGGTTCCCGCTGCTACTAGGCTAACTACAGTAGCTTCATCCTAGATCCTATCGTGCTGCTCCTCTTTAGTATGTCTATTTTTATTAAGGGATCCTGGGAATGATCGACGACGGTGAGAACCAAAAAATATATTTAAAAATTTAAAATCTCGAAAAAAAATTATGGGCATCCCCATGATCTTTCCGCAGGTGAAAGCGACTGGAAACTCATCTCCATTGACATCCGGGATAAATTAGCTCCTCAAATCAACGGTACAGTAATAAATACACAATTATGATACAAATTCAAGACAGCTGAAAATAATGTAGATCACTTCCACTTGATTCAAAAGAAAAATTAGAAATTTCGCAAAAGGGGGTAAATTTATAAGCAGCTTCGGAAATAATTCGAAATTAAAAAAAAATAATGTTCTTAATGCAATGGACAATATGTCACGCGATCAGTCTGCGCAAAGGTACTAAAATTATTCTTTTTAATAAAGTAAAAAAGGGTTACTATTAACTTCTGTAATTTCTAAACCTTTTCCAGTTCGGACCTATAGAGACGCGTTGAAACCTCACCAATGCACCGAACAAAATTCCTGCCGGTGAGAATATTGTTTTTTCTTCAGTTACTACAAAATTTTCATTTTCACTGAAAATTCAAAACGGAACTTCAAAGAAATTTAAGCGTCATTTTTACAATTTCTTTTTCCCTCACTCCAGGAGGACAACCCAACGAATTCGCCTTCAACGGAGACGCGATGGACAAAGATTTCGCCTTTCGAATCATTGAAGAAACGCACGAGGAGTGGAAGCAGCTCATGGAAGGAAAAATTGATCGCGGAAAAATCAACTTGTACACAATAATCCAGTTTTAAACGCTTAAAAAAATACTCACAAGACTTGTTTTTTCAATCTTCCACCAGAACATGTACGTTGACGAATGCGGGAGGAGTGAAACTCGGGCAAGATGAAGCCGTTTCCATACTGGGGGATCTTGGACCAGTGGAGGAGCCTTTACCAGTTCCCAACGAAGGTTTCACCAACCTGTTCTCTTAAAAAAAATTATTTCACGGACATTTTTATTTTTTTTTGTGCAAAATTGTTACAGCTTCTGAGTGGCACTTCGTGGGATCCGCATACGACAAAGGCTCTCGGACATGCGCTGTGATCTGAACGTGACTGCATGAATCCTCATTGGAATTTCTTAGACACCCCCCGAGATGTCGCCCATGTCCGGATAGTTGAACGCTTCCCAAAACGACTCGACCAAGAATGAGCACGTATACCGAAAGAGCGAAACATTACTTGCGCAGTTTTCGACGCGTCAAACGCAGAAAAGTAATTCAGTGAAAGACAATGATGCAGTTCGATGAAATTCGGTTAGTTACCTTTAAATTTTTTTCTTTGAACATCCCTAAAACTTACCCAGAAACGACAAAATTTCGTTTGCCGCCATGACGGTTCCGTTCGTCCACCAGTTCAACCAGAATTCAAGCGAATGAAGCGTCGGAAAATTCAGAGAAAATTACCGGACACCTGAAATCAATCATTTTCAGCAATGAAAATATCCAACTGAACGGACGAACACTTTACAACCTAGGACAGTAGTGATCCTGCGACGCGTCTATCACTCAAAAAGTTTGCATTAATCATCCAGTTTCATTGAGAAAATCATCCAGAAATTTTGAATAAATTAGCATAAACCCCGACCATTATTTCTGAAGTAACAAATTTCACATTGTCAATAACTCTTCCGGAAATATTTAAATCCGCGCAGAACCCTTCCAATTTAAATGTTGAATTGAATTGCTCGCGGCTTTGGGCGCCAGAACCGTAGTTGGTTCAGTTCTCGCTTTTTCATTTTCCCCAATTTTATAAACGCCTGAGGCACCGATGATGTTTTCCCGGGGGAAAAATACGACCGAAAGATTACCGAACGTTGCATGCCGAGTGACGCGTCAAATAAAAAAACTCTTCAACCAGGTTTTAAAGCTTTCCTTTACATGACACAGAAACAGAAAACAGTGAAGGCCGAAATACGACTCATTCCAGCAAGAATTTGGAAATCGCCGCTTCATCCCGAAATCGCACCGCAAAGACGCGTCACGGAGAGAAAATGATGGGACACTCATGTGATCAGGGGATCCACTCGAAAGATTTACGCTGGAAATCCCGAACCCCGATTTTTTCCCCACAACACATCAACAACACCATGAACTTTCCGCGTATCCACGATACTGAATGAACGCTGTGCTGTACATCACAATCATCAAAAGCCGTGCTATTAAGCAAAAAAAATCCGCCCAAGATCATTTGCACACGCTGCAAATACGAGATTTTTTTCTTTGTCTTTCCTAGTTCTGGACTGGGTCTCTATGAGATTGATTTTTCAGTAAATCCGCGAGAATTATCCATAGATGAAAAAAAATGGATTCTTGTTCAAATACCGAGAGGAGTATACATACTGAACTGTTGTCCTAAATTCAAGGGAACACGCAACCGAAAAGTATAAGAATTTCGGACACAGAATTGGAAGAGAAATCCGCAAGGAAATTCATTTCAAAAACTTAATGGTATCCTTTGAAGCTTAATGTGCTGAATTTAGCAACAATGATGCTGCTATAGAACTGTAAAAATCTCTCGGAACAAGAGTAAGATCCTAAGCGTGTAAGCTTTACTGATATTCGAGAGGAATTTACATCATTGCTCAGGGGGAGGGGTTACCTGGCATCGCTGATCTATTCGTACAACTTAATTTCTGCTTCAATGCAGTCGTTGAATATGCCAAGCAAGTCGTTTGATCTATCCGGTGTGAATTCCGCAACGAGTTTGCCTACTTCTTCCACGCATTCAGCTTCTAAAGTTTTGAGCTTCTCGAGTAAATCTGAGCCGGGTCGCAAAACCCCCTTGGAAACCGCTTGCTCCTGAGCACGGAACAAGTTGTGGCGGCGATCCACGGACTTGGCAAATCTCGGCGTCGTCTGAAAATAAAACCGAATTTGTGATTCTTACCCACATGATTCTTAAGACACCACATTCACTCAAATATAAGATGCTTTCACTTCAAGATGCTCAATGAGTGCATAAAATGTTAACTTGAATAGTGTAGTTGCACATTTTTCAAATTACCGTACTATATATACTAAAAAAATTTCAGCGACTTCAAGACGTAATCGATGAGCCTCGGCTCCTTTTCTAGTCAAAATTGGAGAGGACTGCGTCTTATACAGGAAAATCTCATTACAACAATTTTTTCAGTAAAACAAACTTTTCCCGACGTCCCAATAGAATGCAGTATATCAAAACAATCTCACTATAACAAAGTTCACCATTTTAGTACAACAAACTTTTTTGAGGAATGATTAATAGATTCTCCAAGTATAAATTTTTCAACTAAAGGCAGGCACAGTCTGACACTTCTGATCCCAAATGTGACTACGACTGGTTATTAATGTAGTATAGATGGAAGCTGTGATCAATGATGAACATGCTCACAAATTGGGACAACACATCATTGTTTCAGAATGAAAAGATTTTCACATCAACCTCCAAGAATGATGAGATTAGTGCAACTAATGAAAATGCATGATTCAAGCTAAAAACAAATTCAGAAGATCACTCAGATTTTCAAATAATAATTTAAAAATCTGAGAATGCCAGAAAAGCAAGATCTCATCAATAATAGGCAGGTCTGATGTGAAAATTTTTTACAGTCAATAATTTGAAAATCTCGTTATAATAAATTATTTAGTGCAAAAAAAAAGAAGTCCCCAAACATTTTGTAACGAAATTTTTTCTGCATTTTGTTTTCGTCAATACGGTAGTCTTGAGCTAAACTCACTTTCGCGGGATCTTCAGCATCGCTGTACTTCGGACTTACAACGTCGTCACATCCAGAGACTCCTTCCAGAAACGCAAACGGCTTGTACACCGACAACGATGGATCCGGGGTCCCAGTGAACCAATGAACACTCGGCTTAGCATCCTTAGACAACACTGATATCTGAGACGAACGACCGAAAAAGATTCATAGAAAAGCTTTCTCAAGTCATGACAAAAAGCCAGAATTTCAAGAAGAAAATGAAGACGTCAGCCATGATAATACGAAAGCGAAACTTGAAAAGGGTGCGAACGGACTAAAAAATGTGCGAGGAATGGTGCAAACCGAAAACCGCGACAGCGCATCATTTCACACTTCGTCGCTTGCACTGCTGAAAGGAAAAACGTCCACTTCCTCGTAAAATCGTTGATCTCATCGAAGAAACGAAAGGCGGGTTAAACGAATTTCGAATGAATACAGCACAGTATAAAAACAAATGTCTACAGTACATACGCATGCTTACTCACGTCTGAAGCATAAACTGGTCATAATAAGTGAAAGTTCTTCTACAAGGGCCATTTCTCAAATTTTAAAAGTTGATACAGTACATGAAATCACTGAAGGACTTCCATCGTATTTGTTTTCACTCCCCATCTTTCTTCAGAACTGTTGATTTTTTCACCGCCTCTGAGGGACCGCCAATAGAAATGAGATATAAAAAATACTTCGAAAAAACTCAAACTCGACATCTCACCTAGCCAATTTCGTTTATTTTTTAATCTCAGGGAAGAGACACAAATCAAATGATTGATTCTAATTTTTCGAGCATATGTCATCAATGTATTGAACCTTATTCAGAGACATTGGAAAAACGCTAGAGAAAAATATGAATGCCACGTAGGTTTGAAAACATTTTTGAAAATTTTCCCGGGCAGATACAATTATGAAATGAATGCTCCACTACTCAATTGCGTTGCGGAATATCTCTCATTCATCGTCGAGACGACTGGGTAGCGCAAAAATTCGAATAAGTGCATCCAATGACAACTAGCGCAATATTTTTCCAGAAGACCCCGTAACTCGTTCGTTAAAGAGCGTTTGCCAACATGAGAAGCAACGCACTACCACAAATTAAACTACAGTCCTGTATAACACATAACTGAAAAAGGAGGAAACTCATGCAGAATCGTGCTCCCCGACACCGACCAAATCATCAGCGCAAATTCATCGCGAAACGCATTTACCTGACTACTCGCGGTCGGATGCTTGTGCTCTCTCGAGCGACAAATCTCCGACTCGGAATGCCTCAGAATCTGCATCATTCCTCGCACGTCGAACCCACCTTCACAAAAGGTGCCGATAACAAAAAGGGAACCACGCGGGGAAGAAGAAAAGTGTTAGTGATAAACAGACACGAAAAGCAGGTCCTAACCTGCGACGACGTGGACGCAAATCCATCAAAGTATGTCATGCAGATTCCGGCGTCCACGTCCCGCAGGATAGACATCATGTCCCCTAGTCCAAACGTTCCTGGTCCCAGCGAAACACTCATTTATTTATTATTAAATCCCCACAGACGAATAATTCAAATCTCTAAAAAAAATGATAAGACCTTTTTCTGAACTGATACCATTTTTGTCTTTTTCACAAATGCAGGGGTTCTTCTCAATGCAATGACAAACCTTACTTTCTCGAATATATTCCTCGTGTCACCTGTAACCCAAACTGATTAATCCTGACCCGAAACCTAAAAAAAAGAAATACAATACTTTATAGAGTTTATACTTATATAGCAATTATCTGCAGTTGAAAATTCTACTTGAATGGCTCTCAACTCTCGAAAGCCGCAGCGGAAAATGAAACGCATACTTTGATAATTATTTTTATAAACTTACAAATTATACTCTCAAGCTTTCAGAATTTTAATAAAAACTACGAATTAAGAGGAAAATACTAGACGAGAATTTTAATTCGATCGCGTAATGAAGGTAAACAAAACGTGGATACCGCATTTCGTGGAGTGGTGAATAGCAGTACTGTATATACTGTACAGTAATTACAAAAACCTGGCGTCAATGAATCAGACCTTGAATTGCCCCATAAATTAGCCTTCAATCCCAAGACGCGCGACTATGTGGGATGATGTCAATTTTTTCTCATTTTATTTTATTTGTCTACCATCTTTTCAAAAATTTTCAAAAAATTTTACGTTAATAATTCCCTGCATGACATGTATTCATGGTTTCGTGGGTCTCATCGAGCGTGAATCAACCGACATTTGTGAATGTGACAGAATCCATGAAATCACAGCACACTCGAAGACCCCCAGGAAATTGGAAGCGACAACACGTTTGATATCCCGTCAACACATACCAGTACTCGTGAGCTCTTTCAACAAAGTCTTGCCAGCAACGTATCTCGAGTCTCCGCATTCGATATCACCAGAGCCAGAGGCAAATGCCTTCCGGAAATTAAATGGCTCGTCGCTGGACCAAAGCCCTTCCTCGCGGGCCTGTTTCTCAAGCTCCGGAGAACTAGCGTCTATCTTCGTCGTGATCGTCAAGTCGTTCGAAATGTTTCGATATCCCTCTACAGCAAAAATTCGATCATTTTTTTTTTACCGTAAATAATATGAGGGGAAACAAGTTCAAAATACCAGTGACTTTTTCAGCAGCCCAAAATGACCTGCCAGCAGTCTCGAGAACCCACGCTTCCCCGTGATCCGCGATGATGAATGAGTTGAAGTAAAACAAGCCGGTTACGTCGGAACACGGTCCTCCTTGCCCGTATTTATCCAACAGCTCTGTGATCACATCCATCGCTTCTTTGGCAGTCTTGCCACGCTCGAGACCCAGTCTAAAAAATTCAAGACATATCCTGTATTTTTTTAAATCAATAATACAATCTGAAAAAACTTGTTTTTCCCCTTCAGTTGCCCTAGGATTTCATGACTTGTCAGTTCAACGCTTGGCTGCTTCCTGTGCAGCCAGGTAGGTGTCGCTCGAACACCAAATCTGACCCAAACTGAATTCGCAACCTCAAAACGCCTCCGGAACTATGCAGCCCTAGGATTTCATGACTTGTCAGTTCAACGCTTGGCTGCTTCCTGTGCAGCCAGGTAGGTGTCGCTCGAACACCAAATCTGACCCAAACTGAATTCGCAACCTCAAAACGCCTCCGGAACTATGCACGCTAGTATACTTCATCATAAACCAATTCCAACTCAGACTTCAAACATTTTTTCAAAAGAAGGTGACACACGCACAAAACGTTTGGCGTTGCTGAAAAAGATTTGCATTACCATACACAATACGAACTGAAAGAGTTCAATTGTCTTTTTCGCAATGATTCCCTTTGATCAGGTTAGATAATGAAAGTACAGTTCAGTACTGTACCGGATTATTTTTATTCAATTGGAGCTGTGTGACAGTCATTAGGACAAGGCCTGATGCTCATCAATTAATAGGAACTCGATCATTAGATCAGATATTGTTTATACACAGAGCAAAAATTGTCCATCGGTACACTAATCATCACCTCGCAGTCGGATGTTCACGAGAGGAAGAATTCTAATTTCAATCGCTTTCAACGCTAACAAAGAATGCGACGCGATAACGATTCCTATTTGTAGACAACGAGACACAGGAAAAAATAAACATTTCAGAATGCTTGACAAAAAGCAAATAGTATACGAACCTCAAGAGATCCATACCCAGCAGTCGTTCGACTTTGTCGTCGGCACTATTGAGCTTCGTCCACACCGCCTCGTTTCCAATGCAAACTCCGTGTTCGTTGGCACCCATCTCGGCTCCCCACATCCACGCTGGTTTCGACAACATGACGCCATGCGTGTGCTCGACTTGATCGATCTCTATGTACGTACACTACGACATCAACGCCGAAAATGAGCAGGCGAAATAAATACGATTTCTTTTTCAATAATCCAATCCCACACATAGTCGCTAAAGCCATCAACTTTTGAAAAACGAAGGAAGGAACTAAGCCTTGCTGTAACAATTTTGAGGTTCATGGACCATATTTTCTCGAAGACTGAACTTGCAATACAGATACAGCACTGTATTTTCTTCAATCATGAAAAACCTATGGTCTTTTCTTCAGACTGCGAAATTACTGAAACTAGGAATGCGGAGAAAAGAACTGCAGGCTAAAATCCAATCCAGAGTAGCTCTGGTCTTCAATTCACGCAGGACCGACGACTTGAATTTCACCCGTTCATCCTTGACTTCATCTTCAGCATGGACCATCATTGAAAATGTAATTTAATCGACGAAGAACTCATTTTATGAATGCGTCACGTTCTTCGGGAAACGCTTTTACAGATGATGTAAGGTTCAACGTTTCCTTAGAACCTGGGAATGGATAACTACAAAGGGTTTAAACTGAAGTCTCCGCCAAATTTTTTCTCGATTTTCTCCGATTAGCAGACATGAATCCGGTACTAGGGTGACACATCTTTCAGTTAAAACTTGAATTGCCAAGATCAAAACTCATGACCTAAAATTTCATGAATCGACCCGCTCGCATTCATCACAACCAAAGCTTCATTATCATCTTGAGCAAAAATTACGAGATCGAGGAGCATTTACAACTTCCGAGGTCCGGAAAAAACAAACCTGCAACTTAGAGCCAGGAGCGTGATCACAAGCAGCGACAAAGACGAGTTCTTGAACCTCTCCATTTGGTCGGTCTGAATTTTTCCCAAAAATGGTACTTCCGTCTCCCGTTTTATCACCCATTACAACGAACGTATCGCAACTTTTCGGGGTTTCCATTTCAGCGTTCGAAAAACGACCTCCTGACGAATACAAAAAGAGCGAACAAACCAATCCCCGGCGTAAAAAAGGCGGAATTCGCAGCAGGGAAACTTTATCTGCAGACAATGCATTCATTCCAGAGCGATCAATAATGATTTTAAAAGAAACACACACACGAAGACTTCGGCAAATAATGTTTCGAATCTTCACACTTCACCCGGGGAAAAATGAATGCGTTGTCCGGAGATTTTCGGAAATGAAAAATACACCGGCAGTCACAAGAACGAGCCTGTCCCAACTTTCCTCTCACTCTATTCTCGTTTCATCAGTGACCGTCGTTCCCATCATAACCTCATAAAAAAGAAGAAGAGCAATATGAGTGACGAAAAGGGAGGACAATTTCAACCAACGGAAGAACTCATCGCCTCTGCAATCTAAGGAGAAGAAGATAAAGAGGGGAGACAAATCCGTGGTCGCCATCTTCTCCCAGGCCATGCGTACAAAAATATATATAGAACAGCACTTGGAAGGAAAACAGGCGAAGGAGAAAAATCGCAGTGCTGAAGAAGAAAGCGAATCGCGTCGAATCACAAACCAGGCCACTCAGTTTTTTTCGAAGCTCACCGTTCGTCACACACTCGACAACGTCACTTGCAAAAACAAACAAAAAACGCACGATAGGGAAGAACGCTGCTTTTAAATGCAGCCCCGACGATCCGAGCACCTTTTTCTTTTTTTTTTCCCTCGCAAAATCTTGAAACAAAAAAATTTTGGGCCCCACCATGAAATCAATCAATCGATGCTGGAAGGGCAACAAAAAAGCAGACCCGAAAAAAATATAACCGCTTCCGCTCACTTAATTTTCGTTATTATATCAATATCACATCGAAATGTAACGCGGAGCACAGGATACCGCTTAAGTGATTAATAAATAAAAAAGGATCATTCCCACAACGATAAAAATCAAAATGGTTATCGAACAACGAAAAACGAATCAACTCACCCAAGGAGAACAAGGATCATATTCGATATTCTAGTAAAAGGTGAACCTCTGAAGCTTCGCCGACCATTTGTTCCCAGGGAGAATTAAAATCTATTCCAGGATGTCCGTAATTATTTTTCTTGGCATAAAAAAGGATTCCCCTAAAAAAAAAGTGATAGAACTACGAAAAATTGAATTCGATCCACGTCGGACTGTTGAACATCGAGGATGAAGTCACTAAATAAATATCCTCAAAATGGCAACTCGGGACTTCACAAATGAACCGTCACTCGCCTGATGCGGAGTAAATCATGGGCATTTCCGTGCCGAAACAGTGCAAAGCTTCACGGAGCACAAGTCCCATCTATCGTAAAGTTGTGTTACTCCGGTCGCAAAAAAAAAAAAAAAATAGGTGAATGGAAAGAAAATACTGGCTTCATCCGACACACAATCGGGTCCAAGTGAGTCGAAAATGCAGCAGTGCGCGGGGGAATGTCGTTGAAGTAGAGCGATGTTTTGCTGTCGTTCATTCCTCCGTACCCCCACCTTATGGATACCGCAAAAAAAAACTTCATCTTCACCCCGCTTTCAACAATGCGACGATCCCTGTCCGGCGTACATTTTCCGCCCCAACTGCATCACGGGAGCCGCTTCTGGAGGAGGCGGCGCTGGTGGCCTATTCTTTACACCTGGAAATATACAAACCGACGTCAGTTTTCATTCAAATCCGAACAAGGAGGGTTAAAATTAAGAAAAGCTATTTAAAACATTTTTTCGAGCAATATATCGGACACAAGCATATGGAATCTCATTCAATCAAAATCCGGCATTTGCGGTTCAATTTTTGTCGGAAAAAAGAATAAATCGCAAAAAAATACGCACTTGATATACATACACTGTATCTATTTTTTAAACATAAATTACGATTCGGAATCCAGTCGCGCATTTGTTCGCGGGTTGTCCAGCTGATAAAACTAACTTAGTTCAGCGAATGCACTTCTAGAAATAAACGGTGGACAAAAAAAAAAATTATTTTCGAACGGAGTCCCAAGAACTTTTGAAGGTTCAAAAGCAGCTTACTTCGATCATTGACGTAAATTCGAAGAGCATTCAATAACATTTAGTGAAACTGGATTTTATGGCAGTAAATGCACTGGTACGACTCCCCCCAATAATAACATGGTATGGCCTTACTTCCAGATAAAGAAACGAAAACCAAGATCAAATCAAATGCCTATCAGAAATTAATCGTAAAACTGCGGCTCAGTCAACTAATTTTTCGATTATCCCCGGTTTCGTAGCTCTCGTTTCATAGCTGGACTTACTTTCACATAAAATGGAACTCAATGACCGAATAGAACAAAGACAAGAGAACTTGTACAAAATTGGACATCCGGTGGGTTTTGATTGAAAAGCAGGCATTAAATCGGAAAATCGGACGTCGAACTCATCCGTTATACGAAGGCAAATAAAAATACTGTACATACAATTTATCTACCTTCGAAAAATGGTTTTATTATCACATGCATAAAGTATTTTCTTCCGTATTTTTTATACCTTGCGATAAGCTTTGATCGCGGCGGAAGGCTGAAGCCATTCAAGGACAAAGGGTTTAAGTTCTTCGAAATTCCTATAGTTCCTCTTATCCTTATTTCAAATTTCGCTAACGAAAGTCTTGTTTTTAGAAAGTCTTCTCGTTTAGCGTCTCTATTTGTATACACTTCTGTTTATTCAAGATCAGGGAATAAGCTCGGTTATTTTTCAAGTCAAGAAAGCACAGTTCATAAGAAATATAAAAAATAAATAAAATAGAGAAATACAATTTTAAGATGGTTTCCATTCTATTCGTTGCTCTTCACGATCTTTCAAACACTGAAGAAGCAATCTTGACGATATGCTAGCCCGAATAATGTGGATGCAAAAGGTCACTGAGTCGCCATTACGTAACTTTCCCAGAAAATATGGAATAATTATGCATTTCCGGAGTCCATTGAATATTCGCGAACCGAGTGCTGGTTTCCGAAGGTTTCGTAAAGTTTACATAAAAATTATCCACCTCTCCGGCACGCCATTCATACTTACATCTTTCTAGAAAAGATATTCAAGGAATCTCAAAATATACATTGAAAACAGGTGATGGAGGACGAGAAAATATGGCCTGTACGAGAAAATAAGGGTAAGGCCTGCACAACTTTTCAGAGCCAGAGCTTTCATACCTCTACCAAAATCCAGAGTTTCAAATTTTTTTGCTTATTTTTTTTTTTCTTCAAGCTTTTAATCCATGCCTCAAAACATGCATCTCGTCCGCGCATGAATTAAAAAGCTCAGAACGGCACCGGACAGTCAAGCAAGTACAGTACAAGTTCCTCATGTGGAACTCATTCGAAACAGGGGAATGAGCTGCCAGACAGAAGAGATTTATTTTTCCGGTTTACAGCAGCAGCGACTCGTCCAGAGAAATAATTCTTTAAAAAAAAATCAAATATAGTACAAGCATCATACTTTAACATGAGAAATGAAATATTCAATAGGAACAACAAATTATAATAAATGGAGCATATGGTTGTTTAAAGCCACAACAACAAAACATTCAACTTATACGACGAGATCGATTCAACTCCACGAGTCTAAAATTCATCAAATAATTCCCGTTTAACTCTTGATTCATTACAAAAACAAACAACTCGGGCATCAAAAGTAAAATGTCGATTGGCAATCGAATTGTAATATGACTCCCATTATTTAAGCATCATTATTTCTCATTATCTTAGCATTCTCGATGATCAACGTTAATGGTTGCGGAAAAAGTATTACCGTATACTGTATTATTATCGCAGAAATTTCTTCCAAATACGCATTTCCGCTAAAAAAAAAAAACTAAAGTCCAACAAATTATCGTGATTTTTTTCTGAGAAATCAACGCCAGCAAGAAATAACGTCAGAGAAATTTGCGTGAAAACCTCAAGCAGAACAAGGCAAAAAACTTCTAAAAAGTTTTTTGTTGTTGTTCAGACAAAGAAATCGAAAAAAATCACACTCCATTCCCGTATAAAGTTAAAAAAAACTTAAAGAAACAATCATTATACTGGACACTCCTTCGGGCGATACAAACGCGTCAAGACGTAGGAAGCGAGCGAAATTATCTCCGAAGGACAACTTGAACACGCGCGGAAGAAGGAACTCTGTATCTCTCGCAAAAAAAAATTAAAAAAACGCATACGGTGAAGAGAAAACCAAAAGAAAAACACCAAGAAAATAAATGAAGACACACTCATCCTCCCTCATCAACACCTCACCTAAATTGGAATTGGACGACATGGAATTCCGCGTCGCCCGTGACAGGTAACTCTTCTGACAATTGCTAAACGCCGGCGGCGACGGGAAAGTAGTCTCCGGCTTGAAGCTGAACCTCTGCTCGAACACCTCGTCGCAGCCTGGAAAACAAGAACAATCAGAAAATAAAAAATAAAAAATACACAATTCTGAGCATCAGTTCTATCGGGTGTGTGTGGCGTTGAACTCGCTGATCGGTGAAGGAGAAACCGAGACGACGAAGAAGGAAGAGGAAAAAGATACAAGAAGGCAAGTGATGGAGAAAGAAAAGAAAGAAAGAAAGAGAAAAAGGACCGAGTCTGGACGAGATAAGCCCAGCCCGAGAGTTCAAAGCATGCAGCGGACCAGTGCGCTGTGACGCACACCCCGGGCCATTGGTAATAACCGAATCTAAAACCGTGCTCTCGACTCTCTTTTCGGGGAGCTCATTTTCTTCCCGAACTTGTCTAGCCTGCCCACTTCACCAAGTCAACCTGCAATACTAAAAAAAAAAACAACCTAATACTGTACTGTACTACAAAAAACCTGCCTCTTACACCACAAATGCCCACTGAACACGAGACATATCGTATTCAGGAGATTATTACAGGCCGCACTCGAGCACGGGCAGACTTTGGAGGGTAAAAGGTAATTATATTCGGTCTGTAAAATCAGATCAAAGACGAATTTAAATCGATACGCCTTTAAAAAAAAAAGGCTTTGTCAAAAATCCAGGCAATGATGATACAAGTGTGTACTCTATATTTTTCTACAACAAAATTCAGAGGACCAGAAAAAAATTGCAGTAGACAACCCCATCAATCTGTAATTATTTAGGATGGGTAGAGACCCTCACGGGACAACAACAAAAAGTTATAAAGAGAAAATCGTTGCAGGGAATGCCTAAATCAAACTTAGCGATCCATCAGGGAAATCTCGCGGGGGTTTTCTATGATAGGCGTTCATTCTACAAAATCTACATAATTTTCATAATTTGCCTTGTTTTTCAGTTCACTTAATCGGAGAGTAACTATCGCAACTTTCGTCCAATCAAAAAAAAAATTATGATCATAGGCCACATCCGATATTTTCAAGGATGACATGCGGCCTATAATCGAATGAATACGCCATTTTGAATCAACCATCAAGTGAAAGGCCTTATCAAGCTCTTTGTTATCTTTTATCAGGAGGAAAGGAAGTTTATGCGACGTTATAACGGTGGAACAGTTTCTTGGAACCCACTTTTGACTGAACTCAGGCAGTGATAAATTCCTTCTTCAGATCCATCAACTTTTGATCGTCAACGCAAAGAAATGACGGGAATGTTCTCGAGTCATTCACACTGGAATTCGTTTTCCACAACCCTAAAAGGCTAAAAGGACTCTTGACGAACTCGAATGCCTGAGCCTACTTTTTGCCATGTCAGGCAAGTGTCATCTAAACCCGAATTTGAAAAAGAAGGACCTAAACTAGATTAACCTAAGCAAAGTGAGCTTGAAAAACCCTAACCATGTATTGTAGCCCAACCTAACATGACACTTACCCTAGATTTGAGGAACTGAAACATGAAAAGCCTATTCAATGGCGAAGACAATCAAGAGGGTCATGTGAATTTTTAAAATCGAATTATTTAAATAAAATTCGAATTTAAATGATTCGAAGACGACTCTCGGAAAGGTTCGTGTCCTCTAAGAGGCTAGAAAGTCTGAAGTAATATTTATGGAAGCTTCGAATTGCGATTCCCAAACATTTTCTGCACAACAGAGATTTCAATACATCCACGAACAACTTTTTGAAGGTCTCATGAACACAACGAATGAAAACTGGATCCAAAAAGCAAAAAAAAAAATTGCTTCTCATCTGAAAAATGGCAGTAGATTTCCACCCGAACTTCGATCTCCAGCCACGTCGACGGGTATGCAATTATTTTTGTGCCAAATCTACAGTTTTATAATATCTTAAGTTATTTTGCGAGAATATAAAAAAACAGCGATTGGGGGAAAAAGACACGGTCGTGCCAGACTTTCAACAATAATTAGACAATGCTTAAAGTTGTGCCATGACCAGAAAACGAGATGCTTTTCTTCCTTTTTTTTTAGTTTCCAAAAAATGGGGAATGACCACCAACTAAGGGAAACTCATGGCTGTAACCAGCATAAGAAGGGCTTCAAGGCCCACCTTTTGCGGTGTGAGAACCCAATTCGAGCAATCAGCCAGGTGGCGAAGCGGGGCAATTCTTTGATGGGTGAACACATTGGTCATTTCAAGTCATGTCCTCAATAGATTATTTTCCCTTCGATAGAAGCCATAAATTTTGCAATGCGGGAGAACAGGCTGAAATTTCTGCTCACTGGTTACATTCGTGATGGTTGTCTGCTGAAATGCTATGAAATCTGATCACGAGCAATTTTACAACGAAGCTACAGTCTTCAAGTACAATCCGAAATGAGAAACAGGGAATATGCAAGAATCTTTGATTCTTGAGTAAGAACCAAGACAAAAATATAAAAAATGCCATCTATCACGTCATCCATGCCCTTCATACAGTGACAGTATTATTTTTAAATATACAGTACATTAATAATTGACGAATTAATACGGACACGGTATTTAAAACAGTATAGGCCACAATTTTTGGGGGTTGAAAAAATGTCTTTTCAAATCAAGATAATACGATATCTAAAAAAAAGTATACTCTCGAATAACACATTTCCAAGCAGCACATTTTTTTTTAGCATTTTGAACACCGGTGTTCGGAAATTTATTTCATTCCATTGCTTTTTTAAATTTTGCTCATTTGGATTCGGAAAACTTCACGTGTCTCATCTGTTGTTCCTGCTGAATTTTCGCAGCAAACAAAAAAAAATTTCGGCCAATAGCTTAGTTTCTCTGTCCTTGAATTTGGCGCTAGAAATTGAGTAAAGCCTGTGCGTGCTTGGAAAAAAGTACTGCACAGTACTGTACTACGAAAAAATGCGCTCTAGAATCACACATTCTCATGCATCACATTCGTGAGCACTTCAATCATCGATAATCGGGATATTATTTATACTTCATTCATTAAACTTTTCTATATTTGGTTCATCGCAACAACAAAAAATTACAAATCTCGTCTACTGTATCCGCTGAATTTTCCGAACAAAAACAAATTCACAGAAAGAAAAACCTTCGTTTTTCTTTTGCGAAGTTTAGGAGCCGGAAATTCAGATGCAGGCGACGCGTGCATAAATACAAATACCGTACTTTACTGTACTGTATACGACATTTTCCAAAGTCTAATGGATTACTTTTAGGAAAAACAGCGAGGAACCTGAATATTGCCCACCGATTTGAAATCACCAGCAGCTCCTTTGAAGCCGTTCAAATCGCAAAACCGTGGAATCGCGATCAAAATAGGAAGCCTTTTCTCTTCTTCCCTTCCCCCATGAGTCGCCATCAAAAAAAGTACCGCAGGAATCGGCGGAACGCGAACGGAACGGCCGGAGGGCATGGCCGGCTTTCTCACCTCCACAACTCGGTTCTGTTTCGGAACGGACGACCAACTTCCGCCACCCCCCCCCCCCTCTCTATTTTCTTTTCTAAAGAAGACTAAGGACAAAAGGAAAAAAAAAAAAAAGATTCCGAAGCGATTTAAAATCACCGCTTGGACGCTTTCCGAACGCGGCTTCGCTGAACAGTTTGAATATAACATGCCCCATCGGGTTCACCCGGTCTCAATAATCGGGCAAGTGCCGACAGAAACGCGGATCTAAAAAAACAAAAAAGGAAATTACGAGGGGGAAAAAAACGACAAATACAACTTCACAGGTCACGTCTTCTCGAGATTCATTTGAACAACTGACCGTTATTTATTTATTTTTCTGGCAGCGTTGGCAAGATGAAATATCACTATTTCAACCGAAACACTCATCAGACAAGCACAAACGCCTGCGATGTGCGCATGAAAAATAGGCAAGATGTGGCTTTCCTCAGAACAAGTTACAGGCGCAGCGAGTCAAGAAAAAAATAAAATAAGCACGAGTTTGGAAAAGGAGGGTTTATGAACGAGGAAAAAAAATACTACGCGCAAGCACCACGGAGAAAGACACTGTAGGAGTACAGTATATAGCTTTTCTCAGATCCCCTTAATTTAATGGACTTGAAGCGTCTGAAATCATATTTTTTGAATTCCGAGTACAGTAAATACTGAATCAATCAGCCTCAGGAAACCTAACAAACCTACTTTGCAACAAATTAATCGTGACGGCCTTGCTTGTTGCAACTTTAAAAAGCTCCTCAAGAATACTGTACCTGCATTTCATGACACGACACGAACTTCGCAGATTTGCTCGAGAATCATTCTCGATTCTTCAGTGGTCACAGTGATTCCAGTTTCATTTAGGAAAAGTAATTATTCTGCAAAAGTAATCACTGTCCGGATACCGGAAGTACAGTAATTGAAATATTAAACATGTCCGTTCCACAAAAAGAATGTGCAAAAATCATTAATTATGAGAATTGACAGCTTCTGACCAACCCAGGTTTTACACAACTTCGTTGTTTCAAGGAAAATTTGACCAAATACTGCATAATGTATGGACTGATGTTAGTCGCCGGGACGCGCAATTTGTTAGGTTTATTGGCGGAGTTCGGTCTTCAAATGAAAATATCCATCGTTACGCAAAACTGACTTGATTTTTAAAATTATCCTGATTAAAAATATAAAAAAATCGCGACGAATGACAGTAAGTCTCATTTCTTCAAGCATCAGAACATGAAGTTTAAAAACCTTAGTGAACTTGGCTAGATTCGTCTCGTGAAGGTTAGACCAGATTTACTCATATTAAATAAACAGTTTTCCTCTGTTAACTTGTTTGTGCTACAGTATATGTACAGTATTTTGAAACTTACTTTGTCGCGGTATACCTGAAAAAATATTTTATTTCAAAACTACGGTCTTCGGAAAATGAAGCTTGGCGTCTTCGTTCATCATTCAGAATCAAAATTTCGTTTCACACTACAATACTGTATTATAATTACATAATTTTTGAAAATGTATGGTTCGAATAGCTGGGGATTTTAAAAAATACTGTATTTTATAGTTCAGTAATGTACTGTACAGTGCAACTTGGAGATCGAACGCGATGCCCGAGAACCTGAAAATCGAATACTGTAAAACATTGACCATTTTATGCATCCAATGAAAACAAAATAGAGTACAGTAGTATTAAATACTGATCTAAATAGCTATTAAAATCCTTCTCCCAAAATTGTATAGCGCTGTAGCACGAATAACTAGCCCAGATAAATAATTCGATTAAGGAATGAATTACACCGCTAAAAATGAAAGCTTACAAGCCACTCTATTTCCTCCCAGCGAATGAAAAATGTGACCCACATAATCGTTTCCAGGGTTAACCAAAGCCCGGATCATCAGAGATCAGATTTAAAATCCGATAAAATTCCGAGAAGAATGAAAAAAACAACTCTGAAAAATTTGCGTAAATTATCCTAGAATTTTCCCGAGATTGTAGAGTGCGATTCAAAGGACTTTTGGGAACACCCTCGTAGTAAAATCGGGACGAACGGAGGTGATCACGCGTCTGCCTGCATTCGCTCGACTTCGCATGGCAGGGAGGCCCCCGAGGGCAGGGTAATTTCATGCACGCTCGCGTGGGAGTCCTTCCGGCGTTCACGCAACCAGGGCGTGACGCCGCGTGACGACGACGAAGCCGGCGCCGCCGCCGCCTCATGCGGAGCCGCCAGCGCAAGCTCATCGGAAGCACACGGCGTTCAACAGAAAAACTTTTGATCTAGCGGCGGCGGCGGCGGCTGGGTTCTGTAAAGTAATCCTGCTCGCAATTAAATTGAAAGAAAAAAAACATACTGAAGCTTCTCAAATTTTGAATGAGTACCGGAACCATGCAAAATATAAACTGGGATCCAGTTTAAAATTTTTCATATTTTTTTCGTTCAATCGTCCAAGAGTCGGTAAGACACCTAAATGTATGATGAACGCGACTTTTCATTTTCTTTTCGCGATTCAAAACTTCTTGATGGCCATTTTCGACGACGAAAAATTCTACACTATCCACTTTCACAACAGAAATCCCAAATTAAGCGGACAAAAAAAAAATCAAGCTTTATTGCGAAAACTGAAACAGATGTTGGATTCATACTTCCGCCGAAATCTCGTCAGAAACATTTTCCGCGAAGTTCAGAGAACAGCTTCTACACATTCACAAAATACCCACAATGTTTTTTCGTGCTTCAAAAATCAAACTAAATAAAATGTCCATTTGTATCTTAAATTTCTTTGCATTTTAAAATACATGCCGCGAATATATGGAAAATAGGAATTCAGTACTGTAATGTGAATTATCCTAATAATAAAAATGTTGTCAGTCGAGATCTACGCAACATTACATCCAATAAAGACGCAAATCCACGCCCAAACCTTCTCTAGCGTGAATTTTAAATGCTAAGTTTAAATTCACAATGACGATTCCAAGGCTTCCTTGTCCAGTGACTTCAGTTTCTGCAGTTCCGAAGCTCCAGGAATAGAAGCTACCTCGGTAATGAAGCTTGTAATCCTCAGGCCAAGAGACGATTCTCACCCACTTTCGTGATGAAAACGACAAGCACTGGAATCATCGGTGATTGGGGTCCAATCACCGACAACAATTGGGGACCATCCAATTGCGCCTCCAGGGAACAAGAACGACTTGAAGAGAAGAACTGTAACCCTTGCAAGTTTTACTTTAAAAAAAGGTAAACTTTGTAGTTGTATCCTTCATTGAATGAAAACAAAACCCCAATTAGCCTTTTACTCGATCGTGTTCCAAATATTGGACCCACATGCAGCCTTGCAACATAAGCCACCGACTAGATTTTTCATCATCACATAAGATTTTTATTAATAATATAATATTTCCGGGAAATCTGAATACATTTATATTGCTCGTCCAGATTTGAAGAAAAGCTGCTACGACTGAGTGGATCGAAAAAATTAAACAGATTTCCAACAGCGAAGCCTCCTAAACGTGAAACAGTGGAAAAATTATGCAACTCCGTTTTGCATGCTGTCCAATTTTACGGCTGTATCTTGAATTGGCATGTCTAACACGCGTATCTGGAAAAGTTAACACAGCACGAAGGGTTCCTGAGAAAGTTCTGCAACTGTTGGCTTCAAAATGATTCACAAAATGTTTCTCGTTGCTAAAAAAAAAGGACACATTCACAAGTCACCCGCAAAGACTTCCGAAATTGACTCCAAAAAAATCGGCATGAGGCCGGAAATAAAAAAGAGTGACTTTTAAATTAGGCAGAATACAGCTTCTTGTTCCGGTTAAAAGTGTTTTTGTACATAAAACATAATTTTTACAACATTGTAGCTTTTACCAACAGATCCGATGTTCGATGAATCCGAGATGAATTGATAAAACAAAATAAAAGCATAGATTTTTTTCACCTTTCAACAAAAACGATCCCGTCTGTAATGATCAGTCATTTTCCACTCCGTACATCAGGTCATTTGAAAATTTAACTTTTTGTCATTCGAATAACTTCATCTGTCCCCGATTTTCACAGGTCAGTAATTACTCCAGATAATGCACAAGTTTTTCTGCGAACATGAAGCATCAAGTGACGACGAAAATTCCAAGGTGACGAAAACGGATACGAAAAAATAAATAAATTCCGACTCGGACTCGGATAAACGTTCAGCTTCGAGCAGAAGGAGCAAAAAACCGTGGGCTGTCTTGAAGCAAGCATTAATTCCAAATAGCTTCTGTATGCTTATAAGCCGACCTGCTGAGCCGTAAACACTTCTCACTTTCATTCTCGCTTCTCAGCAGCAGGAAGAGAAGCAGTGTCTTGTCTTCAGAACGCTTCAGAATGTTAATCTCGGTTTCCAACCCCGAGGCTGTGCGAGCATTTCGGGAACTGCGTTTAGCCAGAAACTTCGTGGGGCTCAAGTAAGGTTATATTCTTAGTAACGAAAAGAAAAAGTTACACAATTGGAACTGGTTACACTAGTACTAGTTGACCAATCATTGGATCAGATTCCAAGTTCGAAACCAGTTTTTCAGAAGCGTCGCGAAAATATACCGCAAAAGTCATATTTTTTTACTACTGTACTTTCTTTTATTTTTTTTTAAAGGCGTTGCCAGGTGTTCGAACTTTGCCACGGACATGATTCTTTCCTTGAATACAGAATGCATTTTAAAACTCGGAACAGGTCATTGTCCTCGCTCATCAGCCAAGGATTATATCACTTCACGAAATAATTACCGTATTTTTTCTTTTAAAAATTACAAGTACTGTATATAAGAAAATATCGCTTTTTCTTTTCTCTCCACTGGACGCATAAAAAAATTGCAATATTTTATTTCATGTTCTAGAATAATCCAAGCCGATTCATTTGATGCGTTTTCCTTCCGAAACTCTGCCGTAAAAAGGAATAAAAATTATATTCCCATCTGTAGAAATAATTACATTATTTTAGACAACTGGTCATCGTCGCTACTGATCAATCGCTGGATCAGATTGAGATCCAAAATAAGAACCAGTTTTTCGGAACGTGGTCAGAGGCTTGAACTGAATTAACGTCTGCTCTTTCAGCTGGATCAACATTAGAGAAAAATAATTTTCAGAAATAATGCCAGAAATAATTCGAGTTTTTATCAAAACCAATGAAGCCCGAACAGGAACCAGATTTTTAAAAGAGTCTCGAATTGGATTTATTCTTATCTCTCCGCTGGATATATCGTAAAACATGAAGTTTTGATCAATTATCCTTAAAGAAATCTGAACTCTCGGACATTGAAGTAAAAGAAAAAGATCGAAATACGACTCAACTCTCGGTCGTAGAAAGAATCATGCAATCAAAACTCAAATTTTCTCTACCGATGATCCACGGATTGGATCAACACACATTTCCATTCAAATTCTGTGTTTAAAAAAAAACCTGTTGTTTGAAACATCAGGATAATCCGAAGTCGAGGTCGTTTTTCGCGTTTCTCCCACTGGATGAATTTAAAAACGCGATATACATATTTTTTTATTTTGCACTCATGGAGGACAAAATCGGAAAGAAGATTAGCGCGTTAATGTGTTTTCATTCCCAAAATGTTCGCAGGTTTTTCCCAGACACTTCTCAGAAAAGCAGCGCAATTAACTACAGCTGGATCAACATTAGAGAAAAATAATTTTCAGAAATAATGCCAGAAATAATTCGAGTTTTTATCAAAACCAATGAAGCCCGAACAGGAACCAGATTTTTAAAAGAGTCTCGAATTGGATTTATTTGTATCTCTCCGCTGGATAAATCATAAAACATGAACTTTTGATCAATTATCCTTAAGGAAATCTGAACTCTCGGACACTGAAGTGAAAGAAAAAGACCGAAATGCGACTCAACTCTCGGTCGTAGAAAGAATCATGTAATCAAAACTCAAATTTTCTCTACTGATGATGCACGGATTGGATCAACACACATTTCCATTCAAATGTGGGATTTAAAATGAAATAAAAAAAACCTGTTGTTCGAAACATCAGGATAATCCGAAGTCGAAGTAGTTTTTTTCACGTTTTCCCCAGTGGATGAATTTAAAAACGCGATATATATATTTTTTTATTTTGCACTCATGGAGGACAAAATCGGAAAGAAGATTAGCGCGTTAATGTGTTTTCATTCCCAAAATGTTCGCAGGTTTTTCCCAGACACTTCTCAGAAAAGCAGCGCAATTAACTTTCATTCCCATGCTTCTTTCCGATTCAATTTTTCCAGCCACGCATTCTCGCCTACATTCCGGAAAGCCGCGAAAAATGTTTCCTTTTCTTTCTTTTTTCTTCTTCTTTCATTCGATCAAGTGAACATGAATCTAGAAAAGCTCAATTAACGTCCCAAAGAATTTGGCGGGATTCCGGATTATTTTTCTCAGAGGGAGTGCATCCCTTATAAGCGTCACACACGACCAGGGGTCACTGGCTTCATCAAACCCCCACGGTCTGTTTTGAGGTTATTACAGCGATCATGGCGACGACCGCGATCATTTTTTCAACTTTTAATTAGATAATCTCGTCGATCCCACGAGTTCCCGCGGAACACTCAATTTTCACATAACACGAACGTCACCTTTTTTCGCATGCGTGACTACAAACGTTCTCTTCTACAGTATTTGGAAATTTTTTCGGCACAGATATTCAGACAATATAATACTGGGGATCAAAAAGTAAATATTTATGGGGCGATGTGCACTTCGGAACGGCTATGTTTACGTTAATGACAGGTGTGTAGAATTAGAAAATGACTTCGTTGTCTGGAGAATTTAATTATGAAAAAAAAACGTTTTAGTCGCGAAGTTGAGTCCGGAAGTGTTCTACAGTACTTCATTGTGTTGAGCTGAATAGCGAATCTTCAAAGAAAAAAAGAAAATTTTTCAGTGATCGAGTAACATTCTCATGCATAACACCTTGAGTCTGTGTGAACAAATTTAAAATGGAATACTTATTGAACAAGAATCTACAGTATTTTATCTTTTTAATGATTATCCCCAAACGTAAGCTTTTATAAATTATACATGAACGGGCATTTAGTGAGGTCCAACAAAGAATATTGTACAAAATGGAGAAAAACACATCATTCAGGTAAAAGGAGACAAACTGGCTTCGAGCAAGAAATGAATAACACTACGAATTTAATTCCAGATAAAATACTTTATTCACAAAGTAAGCCCACCTGGATTCCACTCAATTCTGCTCAGCTAAAATGAGAATATTCTATCATAAATCTATCATTTCTAATTTCAGTGTCCGTGAACCATTCTTAAGAATCTCCCACTGATTAACTTACTTTAAAATCTAGAAGAATCTTTGAACATAAAAACCAATTTCATAACTTTTCCAAACGTTGTCAACCGTGAGCAATAAATTTTGATGAAAAAATAAATAAAGCACCAAAAAGTAATTGAGTCCAACGAGGAATTTTCCGCCGACGGGGAAACATTCAAGAAGAAATAATTCCAACTGTTGCAAAATTTGATCAGAGCTTCAATTTACGTGATTCAATCATAGAAGTGGAAATTTTAAAGAAAAATGCCAAAAGAAAGTCACTTACCTTTTGCCCATGAGCCGAGGCTTGTCTGTGAAGGCTGTGGCTTCATCGTTGGTGACAACATGGGTCCGTTCGTCGCCGGGGAATGTAGCTGCGTTTTTACGACGGAAAGAGAAGAAGCAAGAAATTCACCGTAAAAAAAAAATAAAAATGATGGAAAAAAGCGGGACATTCGAGGATGGGTCTCTTTTTTTTCGATGCATTCCTCAGCTTGACGACCAAACGTAAAAGAACCATTACTTCGAACCGATATTACTTAGGCTGCATTCCAGAAGTACTTCACCTAATGGTACGCGTACACACGATCGTGTTCAACTATGATTCTGAGAATAAAGTACGACGTACTTCTGACAGAAGGTTAAAAAAAAAGAATAATAATGATACTTCGTTGGATTCATTCAAGGAGGAATGCCAAGAATTTTGATGGCCACGTGTTTTAATTATAGAAATATTTTTCTCAAAAGTTTTTCGAGCAAGAGTGCTAGAGTTACTGGAAATATCATCATCACAGAGGAGCCAATAATTCATGAAGGGAACTCTGTTTACAACGCAAGTACAGTATCCATAAACCTCACGAATACATTTACGTCTACTCGCAAATTCAGCAACAACTTTGGAAGATTATTTTTCTAATCAGGATACGAACCATACGCTAAAAGATGTACAGTACGCACTTCAACTCCGTTTCCTTGGTACAAAATAGAACGTTAAGAAATATTCCCCAAAAAAATTCTCATGAACTAAGTGAATGTGACAAGTGCTCCTTCACGTGAGTCTTACCTCGGCATCCAACGAACACTCTGTATATCCACCAACTCACACCAATGACCCACCTTTCTCATTCATAATTTAAAATACTGTACGATAAAACTGGGTATATTATGATGTCCACGTCTGGTGAGCCTCTTTCCAGCAAAAAAAAAAAATGAACTTAATGCCTAGGGAAACTTCAAATTTTACATTTAAGGTTGGGGTACCTCACGGCCGTTGAATCAGTCCTTTAGGTTCCCGTTAGAAGGGCGGCCCCAGGCTTAGTAAATGCGCCAAGTGAAGAAGTCATTGGGCTTTCTCGTTATAACCGTACTTTACTGAAACTTTTTCTCATGATGCCTCGGTACTGCGACTAATTGATGAAGCAGTTACTGTCAAGATGTTATCTTTACGAATGGCTACATTTCCCTGCTACTGTCTCTCGAACACAGTCCAAGAAATTCATCAACAATGGAGCTCAAAATGACCACAAGGATACTTAATGGAACATTAGATGAATAGAAAATATATACGGAAACTTAAAACATTGACAGAGAATGATGCCAGAAATGTAGATACCTGCACTAGTTTCCATTTTTCTCAGAATTTATTTTCATTGTTTACTTTTCGAAGAACATATGTTCAATTAGTGAAGTGTTTTATTCAAAAATGATTTAAACTTTTTCAAAAAATCAAACGTCATTTCATTTCAGATTTGCCGCACTCGGGGTCAAGGGACTTTTTGGGCAGCCTGGAACCAACTGGGTACGTACTTTGCTCAACTCTACATTACTCGGTTAATGTACTTCCACTCCAGTACAACGGACTTCTCTCATGACTTGATCAAATCTATTAACCGAGGCCAAATTGTGCGCAAATGCCACCTTTCATACAAGCTCTCGTAGTCAATGAAGAGACAAATTTCCAAAATAGAATTTCAGACGGATCTTCTCAGAGGTACCAGAACAGCGGACTGTGCTTCAATTTAATTCATGATGAAACGTGCGGGGCACCTCTTTCCTGGAAAATTGTTCATTGCTAAAAAAATGATGGATCATTTTGAAGTTAGGCCAAAACCTTAACACTTATTTTCATCGATCAGCAATATAAAGTAATGTACCTAAAATCGTCAGCATCGCACGCAGAATACATCTGTAAATGAACATTTTCCTAATCGTCCAATATACATGAAAAATTGTCAGTACCCTTACAGATAATTGTTTTCTCCCTTTACAATCGAATCAAGTTTGAGAAATAAAATGCTCATAAAACAGGACAGAAAGTAAAAAAATAAAATTAAAAAAACGGGAAAAACAACTGACTTGACTCGGGGGCTTCCGCAGCGTGCCGACAGGCATTGGCGGCGGAGGAGGCGGCGGTGGTGGCGGCTGCATCATGGCCACTCCGGTCCTATGCGGCGGTGGTGGTGGAGCAGTAGAAGGCGGAGGCGGTGGCGCCTTATTCGGAGGCGGTGGTGGTGGCGGAGCCGGCGCCAATCTCGTTGGCGGCGGTGGCGGCGGCGTCGTCGGTGGCTTCACCACTCCACCACCAGCCCGCCCGATCGTCGCCCGACCCAACGCATTCATTCCCGTAGGCACCGACGCGTTTCGCGCCGGTGGCGGCGGCGCATGGCGGCACGGCGCCAACGGCGGCGCAGCATGCAACGTATTGTCGTCCAAGGATCCCGGACCCGGGGTCGGCGACGGACTCAGCGAAATCGGACTCGACGGTCCGATCCGCATGCTTTGGGCCCGATTCACAGAAGACTTTGACGGTACTGGCGGCTTGGGCGCCACGGGCTTCGTCGCCAGCGGTGGCTTGGTCGCCTGAGGTGGCGGCTGCGGAGCGTCGCCTTTCTTCTCCCGCCAGGAACCGCGGGTAACCCTCTCGATATTTCTTGGCACGTCCACATCCTTACGAAAAATAATTGCGATATTACAGCTTCAACTCGAATACTCCGCGATTAATTCAAACCTAATCATAGTCGAAAATGAAATGATTCCAGATTCGACGGCATATAAATTTGGCGAAGACACGCGTATGGGTGTTAGTACTTCCCATTGGATAGTAACTTTTATTAAGGCATTTTCAATAAAAGATGAGTAAGAGCAGTTAAAGCTTATTTTGCCTTAAATGTCGCAGCCTGAGGAGTCCGACACATACGTATGATGAATACGAATTCGGGGAATGCAAATAAAAAAAAGCAGCTCCGCCAGTTAATCTATTCTGGCATTTTTTCAAGTGGTCAACAACAGAACGTCAAGTGAAATCATTATTTTGAACCTTTTTCCGAAATCTATAATCTTCAATGCAACCCGAAATGCAATAAAATCAGCTTTAATAAAAAGATGGAACCATGTTATTGGCTTTTTTCAACGACACTTCGCATGTAGTTCGACAAAATGATCGGGAGAGCCTCAAAAACTAATTTCATATTTTAACACAAAAATGCGTTGAAAAGCTTGATGGTCTGATATACCCTTTCAGTGATTTGAAAAATGACAGCGCAAGAACAGAAACGAATCCTTCATAATTTAGCTGAACCACTAAAAATCTATTGAGCTCAGGAGACTCCATTAATTAAAAATGTTACAGTATTTGGAAAGTTCCTGTCGGTTAATTCCTTTTCCAACTACTGTACAGTATTTCTTTTCCTCCGATTTTAAACATTTTACACGCGATTTCCATTTCTCTGTTCCCCGCACATTACAATTGCTCAATCCAACTGTGATTCTTTTCACACTACGACATGAGTCGAGACATGCTATGTGCTAAAAATCTATAGAAATACAGTGGTTCACGGAAAATGTTAGTTCTTCAGTAATCCCTCCGCAAGCGTACACACTAATTAACAAATGGAAACTTCTGTTCTAAAAAGCCGAAAACAGCAATGCGTCCAAAATCACAAGCGTGTTGATGTCCATTTCCCAGATTAGCGATTATTTTCATCCGTATCCCCAAAAAAAAGCACGTTCCTTCGTTTTCTCCCTCCAACGGTTTCCTGGAGATCTTGAAAATATTTAGCGTGGGAAACGGTGCATTCAGAAGTCGCTCCGTGAGACTCGCGAAAATAAGTAACTTCGCGGAAAACCGATAGGAACAGCGGTGGAAAAACATGAACGGAAAGATCGACGCATTCCCAGGGAAGAAAGCCTGGCGCGAAAAATCAAGCCTGAACTCAATCGAAAACGGTTCATTCATACGCAACAACAGAAGAAGTTTCGAATGACAAAAATGAGCAAGTATCAACAATTTAATCATCCTCGACTCAATTTGTAATCATGCTGCTTAATCAGGTACACGAAGGATTGTTCGAAGGTCTACTAAAGGCCTTGGAATAAATATCTCGGGATACCTGCAGATGAATGCAGTAGAGCAGCAATATGAGAAAATTAATTTCCTTTAGTTTAAAAATCATACAAACCGGGTTATTTCAACGTATTTCATTCTAGAGCAATTCCAAAGAAGGGCACTTTGAAAACAATAAAAAACAGATGGCCAGTTTTAGTCGCAATGCCGAGACTTGATGCGCTCATTTTCCTTCGTTGATGAAATAAACGAACATCGCTCTCATTTTAATTTGCTTCGCATTTATAAACTACTTTTCACGCGCGGTTTTCAAAATTTATCTGGACTAATAAGCAAACATAAAATAGGAGTCGGAATTCGATGAAAGAAGTTTTTTGAAGAAATATACGTTTAGAATTTATCGCAAATCCGTGCGCCTAAATTAATTTCAACGCAAAAGGAACGGATGGCCAGCATTCCACGCAATTTCAAGACAAGATAATGCTCATTTCACTTTGCTGATGGAATAAAGTGAGATCGCTCTCATTTTTAATGTGCTTCGCGTTTGCAGCCCATTTTTCATGCGATGCTTTCAACATTTATTACGATTTTAAAGCCAACCTAAAATAGGAGTTGAAGTTCGTTGAAAGACACTTTTTTTAACGAAATGCAGTTTAAAATGTCTTTCAAATCCGTTTCACGAGGGTATTACACATAAAACTAATTTCAACGCAGGAGGAAACGGGTGGTCTGCATTTCACGCAATTTCCATTCAAGATTGTGCTCATTTCACTCCATGGCGTGTAACAAACACCAGCTCGCACATTAAAAAAAAATGTTTATATTTACTTGTGCTTAGAGTTCAAGTCCTGTTTTTCACACGCCTTTTCAGCATTTATTCGCATTCCTCAGCCCATACGAAAAAAAGAGGGGGGGGGGGGTGAAGGCTTTCACATCTCGGAAAATGTTGAAGTGGGTGCCGAGAGATTTTCATAATTTTCTTCCGCATCACGGACGGGATGCACGAAAGCTCGCCATTCATTCCGAGATGCCGTACATGCCGAAACGGCGGGAGGAAGGAGAAAGGGAAGTACCTACTGGGCGCGCTAATCGCCTCCGGGGGAATCCAGGTCACCTCCGGCATCGGTTTTTCCTTCCGAACCGCTTAATGCAATTCACGAGGTCACAAGACTACCCCCCCCCCCCNTGGCGGCTTGGGCGCCACGGGCTTCGTCGCCAGCGGTGGCTTGGTCGCCTGAGGTGGCGGCTGCGGAGCGTCGCCTTTCTTCTCCCGCCAGGAACCGCGGGTAACCCTCTCGATATTTCTTGGCACGTCCACATCCTTACGAAAAATAATTGCGATATTACAGCTTCAACTCGAATACTCCGCGATTAATTCAAACCTAATCATAGTCGAAAATGAAATGATTCCAGATTCGACGGCATATAAATTTGGCGGAGACTGCGCATACCCACAATCATGAAGGGTAACCTATCATTGAAAATAATTCCGTAAAAGTTATTTTCTACTCATTCTCGTCAATTTCGAATAAAACGGAATTTACAGCGTCGGACTCCTCAGGCTGTGTAGCATATGATTAATACGAATTCGGGGAATGCAAATAAAAAAGCAGCTCCGCCAGTTACTTTATTCTGGCTTCTTTTTTTTCAAGTGGTCAACAGAATGTCAAGTGATATCATTATTTTGAACCTTTTTCTGAAATCTATAATCTTCATTGCAACCTGAAGTGCAATAAAATCAGCTTTAATAAAAAGATAGAACCATGTTATTGGCTTTTTTCAACGACACTTCGCATGTAGTTCGACAAAATGATCGGGAGAGCCTCATAAACTAATTTCATATTTTAACACAAAAATGAGTTGAAAAGCTCAATTGTACCCTTTTGGTGATTCGAAAAATGACAGCGCAAGAACAGAAACGAATCCTTCATAATTTAGCTAAACCACTAAAAATCTATTGAGCTCAGGAATAAGGAGTGTCCATTAATTAAAAATGCTACAGTATTCGGAAAGTTCCTGCCGGTTACTTCCTTTTCCAACTACAGTACTGTACAGTATTTCTTTTATTCCGATTTTAAACATTTTACACGCAATTTCCATTTCTCTGTTCCCTGCACATTACAATTGCTCAATCCAACTGTGATTCTTCTCACACTACGACATGAGTCGAGACATGCTATGTGCTAAAAATCTATAGAAATACAGTGATTCACGGAAAATGTTAGTTCTTCAGTAATCCCTCCGCAAGCGTACACACTAATCAACAAATGGAAACTTCTGTTCTAAAAAGCCGAAAACAGCAATGCGTCCAAAATCACAAGCGTGTTGATGTCCATTTCCCCGATTAGCGATTATTTTCATCAGTATCCAAAAAAAAATCACGTTCCTTTGCTTTCTCCCTCCAACGGTTTCCTGGAGATCTTGAAAATATTTAGCGTGGGAAACGGTACATTCAGAAGTCGCTCTGTGAGACTCGCGAAAATAAGTAACTTCGCGGAAAACCGATAGGAACAGCGGTGGAAAAACATGAACGGAAAGATCGACGCATTTCCCAGGGAAGAAAGCCTGGCGCGAAAAATCAAGCCTGAACTCGATCAAAAACGGTTCATTCATACGCAACAACAGAAGAAGTTTCGAATGACAAAAATGAGCAAGTGTCAACAATTTAATCATCCTCGACTCAATTTGTAATCAAGCTGCTTAATCAGGTATACGAAGGATTGTTCGAAGGTCTAATAAAGGCCTTGGAATAAATATCTCGGGATACCTGCAGATAAAAGCAGTAAAGCAGCAATATGAGAAAATTTATTTCCTTTAGTTTGAAAAATCATACAAACCGGGTTATTCAAACGTATTTTATTCTAGGGCAATTCCAAAGAAGACCACTTTGAAAACAATAAAAAAACAGATGGCCAGTCTTAGTCACAATGCCAAGACTTTTGATGAAATACTGACATCGCTCTTATTTCAACGTGCTCCGCATTTATACACTATTTTTCACGCGCGGTTTTCAAAATTTATCAAGACTCCAAAGCCAACATAAAATAAGACTCGGAATTCGATGAAAGAAGTTTTTTGAAGAAATATACGTTTAGAATTTATCGCAAATCCGTGCGCTTCAATTACACCTAAATCAATTTCAACGCAGGAGGAACGGATGGCCAGCATTTCACGCAATTTCAAGACAAGATAATGCTCATTTCACTTTGCTGATGGAATAAACTGAAATCGCTCTTATTTTTAATGTGCTTCGCGTTTGCATCCCATTTTTCATGCGATGCTTTCAACATTTATTACGATTTTAAAGCCAACCTAAAATAGGAGTTGAAGTTCGTTGAAAGACACTTTTTTTTTTAACGAAATGCAGTTTAAAATGTCTTTCAAATCCGTTTCACGAGGGTATTACACATAAAACTAATTTCAACGCAGGAGGAAACAGGTGGTCTGCATTTCACGCAATTTCCAGTCAAGATTGTGCTCATTTCACTCCATGGCGTGTAACAAACACCAGCTCGCACATTAAAAAAAATGTTTATATTTACTTGTGCTTAGAGTTCAAGTCCTGTTTTTCACACGCCTTTTCAGCATTTATTCGCATTCCGCAGCCCATACGAAAAAAAAGATGGGGGGGGGGAGGAAGGCTTTCACATCTCGGAAAATGTTGAAGTGGGTGCCGAGAGATTTTCATAATTTTCTTCCGCATCACGGACGGGATGCACGAAAGCTCGCCATTCATTCCGAGATGCCGTACATGCCGAAACGGCGGGAGGAAGGAGAAAGGGAAGTACCTACTGGGCGCGCTAATCGCCTCCGGGGGAATCCAGGTCACCTCCGGCATCGGTTTTTCCTTCCGAACCGCTTAATGCAATTCACGAGGTCACAAGACTACCCCCCCCCCCCCCACCTACACAGACATTATACTAAAAAGAAGAAGAAAGGAAGCAAAGCATCCCAGGAAATCTTGAAAGGAGGGTCTCTCGTGGTGAAACAATCCTTCCGAAGTTCAAAATGCCCCTTCAGTTTAACAATAGAGGTTTCGACAACAAACGGGAAGTCCGATCCGCGTCGGTTCCAGCGACATAATTGCCACCGCAACAATGCCCTGGACAATTCAAAATGCCAAAATGTACGAGTTGGAAAAAGTACCGTAATTGTTGAAGTCTTCAACATTCAACGGCTAATTATAATATAGATCAGTCTTTTGTCCTCATTCAACAAAAGAACGATGCAGTGCTTTCTGAAGCACCCCCACAATCTCGCAAATAAATTAGACAATGACTCCCGAATTTTTCTCATGTTCCACTGCATAAGTTTCTAGAATATAGAAAATAATTGGAATATTACAGGAAATGTCTTGCGTGTCATGAAAACTTTCAGTACGCACGAACCGGCGAGAATTAGCATGCATTACGGACTGGCTTCAGAGCTGAAGGAATACACAAGAAAACAACCCAGCAGTTGAAAAATATTCCTCGGAAATAACATTGTAACGCAACTGAAGTGGCCACACCTCATTTTCGCCTGAATAATCGTTCTGCGTAAAAAAAATAAAATAAAAAAGGCCGGGATAAAATATGAAAGACTTTACTTACTCCAGAATTCCACCGTGAAGACATACATATTCTTGGATAAATATTCTCAATGGCTGTCTTGGGAGGTTTTCAACATTTTTTTGAACGATAAAGTTCTAGTCACCTTGTCTGTCTACCAAAGAAACTGGCTTTAATCCTGGGAAGTCACGAGGACAGTATATAGATACTTACCGTATTATCTCAAGATTCTCATGACCCCTTTTGTTTATGCGAGCCACAGGAAATATTGATGTAAGCTTGCACAAATGTTTCCTGGGACAACACGTAGCGATGGGAAACGTTGAACCCGGGGAACACAGTCATCTTTGTCACGAAAGAAAAAAAAATACTGCGGATTTTGGAAATCGCCAATGTGATCAATACTTGCTCACACTGACTTACTTTCGCCGAAAGAGTCATGAAATTATAAAACCAGTTCAGACAGAATTTATAAGGTGAATTATGAACAGATATGAATGATTTAAATTCAGGATCATGACGAGTCACTAAGTTTGAAAATGCATTATGAATTGTTTCGATGAAAGGTCCGATTTTTTCAACATAAAAATGACACGCCGATTCATTCAACGTATGGCTGTGTCCTCAAGAATTTTTCCACTGCAGCTGAAATCGAGTAAAATTAAAACTTACATTCCACGGAAAAAATCATTATAATCATGGTAAAGAATTACCGAATTCGTTGAATTTTGAAGAATTACGATCATTCAGACAAATTTCGGAGATAATTGAAGCGAAAAAGGAGGTCCATGAGGTCAATATAAAGCGCTTTGGTGACAATTCATTAGGCTTTCAGTTCGCTCAATTCTTATTTTCATATATCGAAAGTATAGCACGTTAGATCGGATGTTTCGAAAATTGGATATCAACTGCATTTTATAACAACAAAAAAAAATCGATGACTGAAAAGATTACCAGCGGGATATAAACTCCAGTATCAATCAAAAAGCTAAGATACGAGAGATATTGAAAAGAGCAGCAACGGATCCCAGAAATCACCCTTCAATCATCTCAAATGAACTCATAAAATTTATGAATTATCACAGCATCAACACACCGACCCGTACAATTAAAAAAGCGTGTCTCAAAAACATTCCACATCATCGGTTATCATGTACACTCAAATTATACCCCCCGTGCATTTTTTTTCCAACAACAAAAAAGATGCAGTCCATGTTTGTGGTGTTCAAACGCATTCGAATATTCCTGTTGAAAAATAAAGCAATTAGTTGGCAGCCAGTATACAGACGCGGCCTTCATTCCCGTATACTGTACAGTATACATATTCTGAACGTAACTTCTTCTCTGTTTCTTCAGCCACCATTTTCAATCGGGAAATTTTCCATCTCGTCATTCGAAAACAAAGAAAACAATTGTCCCGGTCTGAGTCAAGGATCAACAACAACAAAAAAGACCAAGGATGTGAGAGAGCAAAACGGATCGACGGAATCGTATTCCAGCGATATCCATATCGAAATGTGACGCAACGACTGACTAGCACGTCGTATCAGTTGGGCCTGGGACGCACAAGACCCCGAAACCGTGCTTCATGAGAAGGCATTCGACGCATTTCATCCCAGCGCCGCGACAATAAACGTCGACCCAGAATCGGCTCAAGGAACTCGGAGAAAATACCACAGGTGAGGCCTTTTCTTAGGAATGTGACAGAGAGCGGCTTTGAAAAAGGAACGCCTGGAGGGTTTTCAACCTTCAACGTACAGTATTCAGATACCTCGGTTACCCATCAACGATAATTCACGTTTTTCGCAAAAATTTGAGATAATCGGAGAGCGTCTTCGATCAATGTATATCCGTAAGCAAAGTGAAAGGGTTGCTTTTGACCAGCAAATTATTCGGGAATGCAAAATTTTATTGAAATGAATATCATTCGCAAGATCTTCAGTTCAAGAACTTTCAAGGTCGAAATTCCAAAATTTTCGGAAGCTTTCACAGAGAATAAGTTGGTAATTCAAGCACAAGAATAATTTTTAGTTAGAATCTGTCGAGATTCCTGATCTTGAAGGAACTGAAGTAAAGGATAGTGGGTTCAACATTCGCAGAAAACATTTTATAATAGTTCGGGCACAAAAATAACGAGGTTCGTCTGATCATGACACATGTATCTTATTCAAGTATAAATACCGTCAGTATTACCGGTAGACTCTTTCTACAACAAACTTCTCTGTACTGTACAACGAATTTTATTGTGGTCCGTTAAAGTTCTGTCCATTAAATATGTATTTTTCAACAGCTATTTTTTCTGGTCCCCTATAACTATATTTCATTAATCTGAGTCCACTTGTACAGAAAAAAAATCACTCAGAAATGCTAAGCTATTGGTGAACCTTCGAAAAATTACTCAAATATCCCCTATAATTTGTCAAGATTTGCAAATTTCATACCTCATGGAAATCGATGTCTGTACCCAATGAAAGTTTTTGGGCCTCCCCTGACGCGAGAAAATATGTCAGAACAATTTTTTTTAATTTTAAGCTGACAAACAATACCGATTTTATCAGTTGAGTTTTTCCTCTCCAAGCCTCTTTGAAGACCGCACACAAATGTTTACAATTATGAGCTAAAATACAGTACAATACCGTACTTCACAAAAGAACAGAGAATGAAAATTTTGAAACCCTCACCCTTCCTTTTTCAGAAGAAGAAATACGAGAAGTCAAAAGCTTGAAGGAGCGCAGCAGTGATAACTTTTATTTTTTATTTTCATAGCTTCAAACGATGATTTTGAA